CAACATTGATTACCAGTGGTGATTTTTATTAATTGGGATGAAATTTGCAACCACATGCCTACTTCTATTTGAATCCCCTTTATCCTTTTAATGATGATATAAGAGGTCTCATACTCTTATTGGAATGGGGAGAAAGACTTCTGAATGAAATAGTCAATTCTAATAGATGGAAGCTGAGAGAGTCTGAGACATAGTGGCAGCCTCACATTTTTAATAGTCAGCGGACTTTTTTGGAACTCTTGATATCAGGGGGATAGTGAGGCTTAGTCTTTCTTCAAGCTGCCGTCCTTAGGGTCTATTCACATGCTGCCTGGCTTTCAGGTTTCTATTCACATAGTGACTTCTACTCTTACTTCTCTGATCTCTACTATCTAGTATAAGTGAATTGCATGCGAATGAGCTCAATAGTTCAACCCATACCAATACCCTATATTCTACACAGCCTCCAAAAGTGGAGGCTTGTACTTTCAGGTAGCATTTTAATTTGATAGTTAAGAATATTTTAATAGCCTTGCACAAAAAAGATGGTCTCTGTCAATGTTTTAAAAACTAAAGTAAAGTGAAGATGCACTCAAAGCAAATAGTGCCTATAATGCAGAGGATATGCTTTGGGAACTCTTTGTAGGGACTATGGAAGAATGTATCTTTTCTTTTATTTCATAACTTAGATTAAATTGACTTCTAACTTCTAACAGTTCTAAGTGTTAGATACTTTTCCCTCTCACTGTGCTTGTTTGGATGGGGTTGGTGGGATAAAAAAACTTAGCAGAAGCTCCTCCTTGTGGAGATGAAACAGTCATCGTAGCTCCTGTCTTACTGTATTTATTAAATGTTCTTATCGGGATTGAAATGTTATTCAAGATTTAGTTGAACTATGTCTGGATGCGTGTATTGATTATTGAAAAGTCATGACTCATGAATCTATCATGTCATTTGCTTTGTTGTATGGCATAATGATAGAGGTTACATGGATTCTTACATTTCAGTAGATAACAGAGCCGTAGAACTTGCTGCTCTTAATCAAACTGTGCATTCTGTTGCGCCTTTTAGATCATCTTTACATATTATGAAATCCACATTATCTTACAGTCATAGAAGCTATGTTGAATCTTAGAGAGTTAGAGTTAGCTTTTAAAATGTGAAAACCATCAATTAATAGAAGGGAGAATTTGACTTTGCACCCCGGTGATATTGGACTTTGCACCATCTTTACATATTATGAAATCCACATTATCTTACAGTCATAGAAGCTATGTTGAATCTTAGAGTTAGCTTTTAAAATGTGAAAACCATCAATTAATAGAAGGGAGAATTTGACTTTGCACCCCATGTTTTGGGTCATATTGGACTTTGCACCATATTTTCAAAATCATTAATATTTTCACCCTATTTCACTATATAATCATTTGACTTTGCACCCCACTCTTTCACAAATTTTGAGCTAATGGGGTGCAAATATTAATGATTTTGAATATGAGGTGCAAAGTCAAATTCCCCCTTGGTAATTTGTAGGAACACTTGCATTTCTTTTTGGTTTGTATCAGGTCCTTGTTACACGTGGTTTCCTTTATATTTAGATGATTGATGACTAGTGTTGTTCAATGGTCACCGTGGATAAATGGTGTAGCGGTTTTTTCCCCAGACATAGGAATGTTTTTAAGAATGGTGCTCTGAGGAGGTTCAGGGCTTCAGGCGGCTGTTGGTGACATGACAATTGATGTGTTTAGACAGAGTGCACACTGCTTAGATGATCTCAATTACTTGCTTAACTGACAAGTCACCATTTTGGGATTTAGATCAAATCTAGTGATTAGCAGAGTTACTGATTGTAACTTTTCTAGATAGAACGTAGAAGCTTTTCATAGTCAATACTTGCCAATGTCCCATTCATCTGCTGCATGTTATTCAAATTTTGGTAGTTATAACATGAACAGATGGGTGTCTTCTTTCCATTATGCTTGGTGCTTTTCAGCTTCTGATAACCATTGTATCGTGCTATGGGCAACTTGGTATATCTTACCCCCTATGTCCCGAAATAATTGTCATTTTAAAGAATGCCTTGCATAATAAGCCATTAAGCCTCCCATGTACTTGTTTAAGTCTAATTATAAATGCCTTCTTATTCACAATACACCTACTGAAGCATTTATTTTGACTTTTAAGAATAGTAAATATTCACGACTTCGGGATTTGGAGGATATAGGATAATTGTCTCATAAATTCCTAATGTCACAATTATTTAGTGATTTCTGTGTGGCTAATAAGAAAATAATTTTGTGACGAGGGAGTAGTATTATGAGTTATCTATTGCTTTGCTTAAAAATAATATATTAATGAAAATACAGAACACTCGGTAATGATGAGCGGAAACTAGAAAATCGATGTAGAACAGTAGAAGTATATCATCATCTTGTCATTGTGCAGGGTAATTAAGGAAGAAAAGTATGCTGCCAGAAGGGCTATATTGCCCATGCTACAAGCTGAAGAAGATCAAAGGTTAGGAGCAACTTTGGCTTTTCTCTGTCCTGCAATTCATGTACTTGGTCGCGCATATACTTTGCTACAACTTATTTCGTCATTGCTTTCATATCTTTAGATTTGTCAAAGAGTGGAGGAAGTATGTAGAAGAAGAGGCAAGGATAATGAAGGACGTTCCTGGTTGGAATGTGGGTGAGAGTGTGTACAACTCAGGAAGATGGATGCCCCCTTCTACAGGAGAGCTTCGTCCTGATGTCTGGTAAGGCCGCCTTTGTAGTGCAGAAACAGGCCAACAGAAGATTGTCTTTTTTCTGTAATTGCAGTCTGTACTGTGTTTGGGATGCTTGTAATAATGTAACCTCCAAGTTGAGTTCATGCTGTCCAGAATTGTTGTGTAGTTTTCTTTTTCAAAATCATTTTAATATATTCCCTCAAGAGATTTGGGAGTATTAATAGAACTGTACAAGTTTCGTCCTGTCTTATTCGTTGGGCCATTTTGTTTGATGAGAAAGACGCTACATTATGCATTGTTGTGACTTTTTCCCGTTTTATTTGTTAAGTGGAATTCTGAAGTGAATCAAACCCCGGTTTAACTTGTAACACAGGGATTGCCATTGCCATATATATTGTGTATTTATTAAACTTAGACTTAGAAACAGTGAATATTTGATATGCTATGAACGTAAAATTGATATATTCGTTCCTCAATTGCTTTAGCACTTCATTGTCAATGTAATGCAATCCAGTCTTCGAATTATCCAAACATTTATTAGTTCGGTCGCACACACCATAATGGAGAAGATGAAAGAAAATGATGCATATGCATCTATGAAGCCCCGGGAAACGCTAGGAAAAAGAAAAAACAGGCTAATAAATATTATTTTTACATGTTCGTATTCATCTAAAAATGCAATAAAAAGTGAAATGTGTTTCATTTTTACATACATACCAATTGCTATGTACTTGACTATTTATATAATAGAAATAAATAAATACTATGTACAAATAAAGGTGTTCAAATACTAAAAATAAATATACTGAACTTGAACTAATACTCCAGACTAAAGGTGTGAGGCCGTGATTCCGTGAAGGCCTTGAGTGATAAATTCTTTAATAATTGGGGTTGGAATTTAAAACTAAAAAAACGAGAGATTGCATTGCATAATTAATCAGAAAATCGAGGAACCAAAATTAGCAAAATAAATTCCATCAGAAAACCTTCTTTAACAAAGTATTCACCTTAGTTCAAACTCGTCATAATCTGGCATGCTAGATAGCTCACCAAGACAAATCATTATTCATGTCGAAGGTTCACATCCTTTCATGTGATATTGGTCCGCCCCCAATCTAACTGCGAGAACTGTGGGATAGGCGTAGGAGTGGAAGAGGGAGACCCCAAATGTACTAAAGAAACTGAAACTGATTGAGCCAAACACTTGGTGTTCCAACTCAGGGCAGTAGTCAATTGCCCATATTCCATGTAGCAGTGCAATTAGAGTTGGGGCTACATTAGTTTATCACATTTATCACATTCTTTGCTACCAAATACAATAAGGTCACATGAAGTTCTAGTTTTGTGAATGAAAGCGGTGCAATTGAATGTACTTCTTACAGTGGGTCATCCATTCAAAAATCTGTTAAATAAATCGATTTCAGTGGGTCTTCCATTCAAAAATCTATTAAGTAAATCTCGATGTGATTTTCAAATGTTGTTCTAGACGGCTAGCAGCTCTACTGTTAATTGTCTTCTCCTCCATATTTGTAGACACATATCCTTAGCTTTTCTTACGGTCTTACTCCATTTGGTTTGTGAGAGTTAGCATATTAAAGTTTGTTTTCTAGCATGTTTTTTTATTTTGTGTTCATGTGGATGTAGGCATGTATGTAGTCTTTTCACACAGAGTTGAAAACATTGACCAAGTTTGTTCTAAACAAACTCAACTTTTACAAACAATGTTCTAAACAACATCAATCTTTAAAACATAGTGATGTCCGACATCAAATCATAAAATTTTGATTACCGTATAAAATATAGTGTATAGTAGCAGGGAAGAGAATACATTTCACTTACAATAAAAATCAAGATCATATTCCATTGATCCTTTTATCCATTTTATATAATAGATATTATAATAGGTTTAAAATTCAACAAAAAAATATAAAAAAATGTGTGCATCAAAGGTACATAATAAGTACCCATTTCATAGACGGAGAAATATCAAGCGGAGCAGGTACAAATACATGTCGTTCTCGATCCACTCCGTTCATTTCTATGCATGAGTTAAAATTTTCAAAATAACACCTAATATATAATAAAAAATAAGAAAAGGACAAGAATATGTCTTAAATTTTTTTAGTTAAGGTGATTATTTACAAAATTTAGGTCACAATGATTCTAATAATATACTCATATTATGTACTGTAATAATTAGTCACAATTTTTTTCCAATTTTTTATTTAATGATATTCAGGGAAAAACTCAAATTTCTTTCTAGCATCATTAAAGAAAAAATGCACAGATGGAAAGACAATGCACGAGGACAGCATATACTGCGTATCGGTTTGAGAAGAAAAGAAGAAAAAGAGAATAACGTAACCAACGGCAAAATGATACAGAGAGAGTAGGCAGGAGATCTGCTGGAAGTTTGAAAATTTTCTAAATTATAAAGAGCAGTATCAGAGAGGTCTCCGTTCTCCTGCCCGATCAGATCGGAGTCTCCTTCTATCGACACAGAATTTGCAAATTAGGGTTTTAATTGCAAATCCTATCATCGCCGTCGCGCGCTTCTCAATGCCCGCTATTTAAAAAAAAGAAATCACGCTAAAACCCCGATCCGGCGACAACCGCAATAATCATTGCCTACTCTTCCCTTCTGGATGCTTTTATATGTGCGCATTGGTGCTTCTACGGATTTGAATGTGTTGATTTGTGATCGGTGTCTTATGGTAGACATTGGGGTGTGAATTTAAGAGGTTAACAAAATTCTTAAATTGCTATGAGGACCCAGAGCCATTGGACATAAAGACATATTTGGATTTCAATGGCTTCGGTTCAGGTATTGCGCAAGCAAGAGCATCTGGAAGCTGGGAAGAAGAAGGTGCGAATTTGTTTTTACTTTCGGTGTAATTGGGCTAGCCTTTTTGGGAGGGTTAATTTTTTGTTTCCATTTTACAATTAAGTCCAGTTGGAACTGAGGTTGATATTAAATGACGAAAATTTTGGTACTTAACTGTATAAAGATGTGGATTTTATGAAATATCTGCTGGCCTATCGGCTTGCTAGGCAATACACAAATGGATATTATTGAATTGCCTCAAAGCTGAAGAAGGTTGTGGGCATCTATCTTGATAGTAGGAAGCATGATATGTCTTAAAATCATAAGTTTTCCACTTTGGGTTAAGTGAACAGTTCATGGTTCTGTTTCTGTAGTTTGAGAAATTTGACCTTTGTGGGGTCATCGTTTTTCAAGTTATTAAGTTCTTTTTGGTAGAACGTGTATTTAATTAGCATTTCGAATCTGCAAAACTGAATTCCACCCCTTTAAACAAATACCATTTCCAAATCATGTTTAATGTTTGCAAAATTCTGAAACTCAATTTTGCCGATTCCAAACGGAATTAATTAGACTCTAATTTAATGTACATTTTGGAGCATAGGGCTATTTTTAATGCATATATCAAGTTTCGATATTTTGAGATTTGTAGTGTAAGACAATGTCATTAAAATTTAGCTCATCGCTTGAGTAAGACGGGCACTTTTTGCCTTGTGCCTAAGGTAACATAGGACCTTTATATATGAGTGTGCCAGGCACTTTGACTACCTTGGTGTTTGTGCTTGTGTGAGTTATGGGTTGTTTTTCAATGGGTAGTACAAAATGTACCCATATATGATTTCTTAGCTTTAAAAAGAGCACCCGAGGCATGCCTATACTCAAGGCGGACATGTTTGAGGATTAGATTTCTTTAATTTGTTATCATGTTCGAGTATAAGATATCATCCACAAGTAGCATATATACTCCCTAAGTCCCTAGAGAAGATGTGCCCGCCCATGCTTCATGTGGCGAGGGCCTCGGCTAAATATACCCAAAATCGTCTCAGCACGCCTCACCCCTTTTAAAATTAAGTATGATTATAATGTATTTAGATTCAATGTCAAATGGTTATGGCTATTTTGACCTCCACTTGATGCTTTATGCTTAAGATTCATAAGTATTTAAGTAATTTTTAGTTATAAAAGAAGTAACAGCCATGGGGCCACAATCATCCAACAATCTTTGGTTTCAACGCGCACCTCAGTAATACCCATACATGGTTAATGATTTTCAACCATTAAGTTCAAAATAGATATGATCATTTTGACATGCAATTAGTGCTTAAAACTATTTGTTAGCATTTAGCTGTTAGCTATAAAAGTATTTATAGTGCACATACACATATTTATCTATACGCCTGTGTGTATCTATATATGTATGCAATTGTGCATAAATATTATATATATATATATATATTAATATATACTCCCTCTGTTCTCTTTCATTCGCCGCACTTTCCTTCTATGGAAGTTTATTATTAGTTGCTCCACTTTCTATATTGGTAACTTTTCCTACTTTTCATAGACATAAATGGTCTTTCTTTATCTTGTCTTCTCCCCTATTTTTTCATAGACATAAATGACTAATGAGTAAAAGTGAATGGGGGGAATCTATATTATATAGTTTACATACATACATAATATGCACACACAGTTTTGTTTGGAAAGCGGTATCTGTCAATTCATTGAATATTTGTACTTGATGGATGATGACATTTTGAAACACATAGAATCTGTTTTGGAGAAACATGGTCCTCTTCTGCGAAGCTGATTTTAAGAGTTACAGATGAAAGAAGCCATCTTTAAATGTCAGCCTAACATCCCCAAAAAACTGATTCCAAGTCTAGGGACATTCGGAGGTCCATAATGATAGCCAAATGCACATTACATTCTTTTTACCAATAAACAAATTATTATTTATATGGGGTCAGCACTCAGCAGTGTGCTATGTTTAAATATAGCCGAATAAAAGATATTTTTTTATTACTCTAGATCTTCCTGAACCATTTTTCTGGAGCTGTTGCACCTGAACTTAAACTTCTGTTATCCTTTCTTGGTAGGGGGTTAATTGGATCCGTTTTTCTATTATGATTTGCATTCCCCAGTAATTGGCTAATTAAATTGCTCTTGTTGCAAATCACTCTTTATTGCTTGATGTTGTTTACATCGTTCGTTAATTCTTTAGCATTTTGTTTGCAGCTAGAAGAGTTTCGGAAGAAGAGAGCCGCAGATCGGGCAAAAAAGACACCGCCAACTAATCAAACCCATCCCTCTGATGGGGGTTTAGAGAGGCAAGCTCTAGATACAGAACGATTACAGCCAGATTCTGGTGGGGTAGGCACATCTAATACTGTTGCGCTATCAGCTTCAGAGCTTTTTGGATCCGATAAAAAGTATGATTTCAAGGAAAATGATATTCAACAGAAGACCACCTCTGGTACTTGTGACTATGCAAGTGCTGGTTTAAATTCCAATTATGATGTTACCTTCTCCATCTCAGAGTCCTCTCATTCTAAAGTTCCGGAGTTTAAAGGCAATGATATTTCAAAAGTGTTGACACCTGAAAATCATAGCGATCATCACCAAATGAAAGATGACCATGATAGAGAAGCAAGAAGTTTTGCCTCTGAAAGTGCATCTGATCATTCTGCTGATAACACTTCACTGCCTTCTTTTTCGAATAGTGGTAGAGCATCCAGTAATTCTGATTTTGATGGTCTGTATAGAACTGGTTCAGGCTCAAAAAAGAGCAGCCTGAAGGATCTTTCAGCTGTAAATTCTAGTACTTCTCATACTTTACAGAATGATTCATTGGAGAATACTGCTAGTTCTCATCTGCCAGAGAGGGCTAGTTTTACTGATCATTGGGGTCAGACATTTTCTTCACATCGAGGTACTTTGTGGCTATCTGTAGATCTCTTATATATTTCTTTTCTGTATATTTCTTCTCTCTCATTGGATATATGAACCATACCTTTATTTGTATTGCTCATTGATGTATACAATCTCACAACATATACTGTGTTTTATAATAGACTCTATATCACCTGTTGCTAGCCTGACTGATTTTTCTTCACAAGCCGGACAAAAAGATGGAGCCTTCCAACATAATTATTCTGTTCTTCATGATACTGGATACCGCCAGTTTCGTGGGTCTGCTACTTCTATTGACAATAACTCAACTCCATTGGCACCAGATGCTGCATATGGTGGTTTCCGTTTTGATGGACAAAGTTCATATAATAATGCACAAATTTCTCCTCCGTCAACTGGGAGTGCTGCTAGGAGGCCCCGCTCTTCATTTCTTGATTCAATTAGCATTTCCAGAGTTTCAGCTGCACACTCTCCTCTCGCTGAGTCAGTGAATGCTGATACTTCTAGTTCCAAGGTTCATCCGTTGGACAATTTAGGTTCTTCAACTTCTGAGAGATTTATGAATTCTTTGGATGCATCTGGTAATGGGACTGACATGTTTAAATATGCCTTCGCTAAGTCCGTGGAGACCAACCATAGCATTCACCCACATAACCAAAACGAAGACTTTGCTGCACTAGAACAGGTCTGGTACATATACTTATGAATTGGCACTGTTTTGTTTCTCATATGCCTCATGGCTACTCTATCTACTATAATATGATAAAAAGTGGTTGCCTATACTACTGTTATAGTTATTGAATCTTCCCAACCAAAATTCTTCTGATGTCACTCTCACTTCACGGGAGCTAAAAGATCTAGGAGTTCCCATTCACCACATCAGAAGTTAAATTTATACACATTCAAGTGTGCTATTAAATGCAACATGCTTTGATATTTAAAAAGTTCTGGGGTATCTCTTTGCGCATCAGAAGACAATCTTTTAGTAGCATCTTAGCTTTATTTACTTTCAAAAAGATGAACCTCCTAGAATTCTGTTGGTTTTTGTCTTTCTCTTGCAGCGTATGGAAGATTTAACATGAGAAATTCTCTTGTTACTTACTTACTTGCGCTCATTCCAACTTAGCAAAACCCTCTGCTTTTTTTGTTTTGACTCATCAACCAACACCGTGTCATTCGTAAATAATGTGCACCGTGGTACAATATTATATCACTATAGATACATCTGATTAAATCATCCATGATGAGAGTCAGGAGAAAGGATTTAAATCATACAAGCTTTAATGTTTGTCTTCACTCAACTGCTTCTTGAATCTTGATACATATCCTTGATTATGCCAATATGTTCATGTGATGCACCTTTTTTCATCTCACTACATAATTTCCCTTGATTATCCTTGAGGCTTCACGAACGTTAGCAGAGTCTTTATCATGTAACGTCTCCTGCCAATTCATCCAATTAGATTTTTTGGCCAGTCTTCATTCTCAAACTTGTATATCACTTAGTGTGCAGGGTGCTGTATAGCATCCTGGCACTGGTTCATCTTTTCTCTCTAACATTTGGGCCGTCTGCCTGTTACCTCTTGGTGCCGATTACTTATTAACAAAAGATGAATCTCTGAGCAATCTTGGGTTTTATTTTTCTTTCTCTTGCAGCATATAGAAGATTTAACTCAAGAAAAGTTCTCTTTGCAACGTGCTCTTGAGGCTTCACGAACGTTAGCAGAGTCTTTAGCTGCTGAAAATTCAGCACTGACAGATAGTTATAACCAACAGGTATGTCTATGTTTGGATTTTCTTCGAAGTTCTAATTGTTTATATGGTGACTCGTTATAATCAGATTTCTATCGATACTTATTGAATTGCAGTATTTTATTTCTTTGTGTCCTTAAACTCTTAAAGTTTAAACTGACTTAAATGTAGGAATAACATATGATGCTAATCATGATATACTGTCTGCTTGCTAACATATTCAAAATTGTGTGTAGACATTTTTTAAATACTTGAAAACATATGTCAGAGTATGATACCTTTGTGTGGACCCTTTTAATTATGGGACCTTTGTGTGGACCCTTTTAGTCTGTGTGCTTACTCATTAATTTGCAGGAAACTAGAAATGAGTTACTCTTCTGACCGGGTGATCATCTCAATTTCAATTAACAATGTTTCAATATGCTTCATGCTTTAAACATGTAAATCTTTCTACGAGATCATATATTTTTTGTCTGCCCTTCACTTTTTACCAGAACTTTAAGGCTAAACTATGGTTGATGTATTATCATTGATGTAATAAACTAAACATGAGAAGTATTAGAAAATACAAAATCATGAAGTTCAAGTGTATTTTTATATTGCCAATTTGTCAATGTAGCTGGTATTTTGGGGTCTTTGAGTAATTGACTCCTTTATCAGTATCCTCATAAGCTGCACTAAATATCTTGATATACTCATTAATATATTACCGTTTCTACTCACTCCATATTAGGGTGCCAATTTATTGTATTGAAAATGTGCTCTTGTGCTTCCTCTTTCAGGGAGGTGTTGTTAATCAGCTAAAAGCTGATATGGAGGCTTTGCAGGAAGAGATTAAAGGAAATCTGGTTCGTCTTGACTCTTGATGGGAGTTGATTTTCCTTTTTAATCTTTGTTATGCTGGATACTTGGATGCTGCTCTAGTTGCTTCATACGATATAAATAAATGCTCTACTAATAACATTATTCCCTTATTTCATAGATACAACTATTCAAAATGTACGTTCATTTGGTGATGCTTCAGGAAGTCTCAAAACAGCAAAAGAAAGCATTCATGAATGCATAGTTCAGTTAAAGATTATAGTACATTTTGTAAAAGGTTTAGTATATCTGTATATTTAAGAGTGATACAATGACTGTAGTAGCATGAAAACTCATTATTTGCATTGTGGTCTAATATGGTTGCATTATACATATCATGAATTAAAATTTCCCCTTTGATTTTATGTAATGAAAAAGTAGCGCTTCTCATTTGCCTCATAATTCAAGCATGTACATGTGTAATTGGTTCTAGCTGAACAATAAATTTGTCTTAAGGTTGTGTATTTTTTTTTTCCTGATTCAAACCATGTAAACAGGCTGAACTTGAGGCTGTGAAGGCAGAATATGCTAATGTCCTGCTTGAATGTAGTGCCGCTGATGAACGCTCAAAGCTTTTGGCATCTGAAGTGATTAGTTTGGAAGAGAAGGTAATTTCTTACTTCAAACGTAAATGGTTTAGTTTCATGCCTATTTGCTGAAAATTTCATACTGTTGTGTCGCACATTCTGAATGATTTGATTTGCATTTAATAATTTAAATAAATCACTGTGAAAATTGAAATTGACATATCCACTCAACCCTCTGCGCAAATAATTTAAATACTTTGAATTAATGGATATATGAACCTCCAGCTTCTTGCTAAAGCCTAAAATACTTTTCACTGTCTTCCTGTCCTAGTTCTTTTTATATTGATAAATGTTCTTTGCTACAGTGATCATTAGCATTGAGAGATGAGTTTTTTTAATGTCAAGTAACCATGGTATTCCTGTCCAGAAAAAGTTCTTGTCTAACCTAGGCACACCTTTTTCTATTTTGGCAAGTTATAAACTGCTATAGATCAACAAATTTTTATTTTTAAAAAATTATTTATTGGTTTGATTAAATTTATGATGTTTAACTTGTTAGTTACACTTTAGGGACCATATAATATTGGATTTACTTCCTTTTCCCAAATTTTATATCTTTTTGTCCTCTTGCTCACAGTATTTCTGTAACTTCGTCCTTGCAATTTCTTCTATTTTTTCTTTTTCCCATTGTCTCCCTTTGCCCATTTCATTAATTGTTTGTCCTATTTCTTCTCTTTAAATTATGGATTGGATATCTACTAGCACCACATGGTCATTTCTCTCTCTTACTAGGTGCTTTATGCTTGTTTAGGCACTTCGGCTGAGATCTAATGAGCTTAAATTGGAGAGAGAGATGGAAAAATCACAAGCCCAAGTTTCTTCTTTCAAGTATGGTCAAGGCTAGTCTTGTTTGTATATTTTATCCTTTATCATTTCATTGTTTTGATATGAACAATCATCCCTTCAATATCTACTTTCCAACTTTTAGTAGTCCTTTCTTGATAGTCAAACCCTGACCTAAAAGGCGGGGTGAGGTGACTTTCAGACTATTTCTTTTGCAGACAATATCTCTGTTGAATGCTATTTCTATTAGGTAACATATTTAGTGCCTATAGGCGATGCATACGGAGTATTTGGGTTGAGGTTTCCCTATTTTGGCCTTGGTAAATTGTGGGGGCTTTGGTGTGTGTGTGAAGAAATCTAGATTTTCCAGAGAAAAGCTTTGCCTTCTATATAAGGGGGAAGCTGATGCTTGTGGCTTTGATCCTTTGACATTCCCAACTAACATATTAAAATTGAATCCACACTCCACAGGCAATACCATATTTCCTTAATTTTGAAAAGATAAAGCCTTTAAGGTTATAGACAATTTGTCTTGTCCTAGTATGTGCATTTTTAACCGAAGTGTTCTCTAAAGTTGATTCTCATCTTTAGGTGGGTCAGAATGGGCATTAATCAATCTTGCCATGGTTACACCCCAGCAGTGGCACCCTTGTTTGCATCTATTGTCCTCAATATGCTTGTGAATTTAACATTATAAATAATGAATTGAGCATACCTGTGGAAGTTGACAGTTGGTTTGTTTTCTTTTGTTAATGCTGTATTAAGTATTTTTAACATTATTCTTTTGAATTGTGCAGAAAGAAAATAGCTAGCCTTGAAAAAGAACGTCATGATCTCCATTCAACTGTTGATGCTTTACAAGAAGGTAACCCTTTGACTGCAATCATGCGTCTGAGTCATCCTAAATTAGAAATGTATTATGTATCTTGAAACCTTTTGAGTTGTCATAACACATTTATGTGACTGTATGCTTCGTCAATTCTTGTGCAGAAAAGAAGCTGTTGCTGTCAAAACTACGTAAAGCTTCTGCTAGTGGCAAATTTGGCGATACTACCAGGAGTTCACCTAATAAAATAGACGTGTCAACGTCAACACAGGATCTGGGTATGCTAAAAATGTTTTGTTACTACTTCATAACTGAAGATTCCATCATTTGCAATGGAGCCAAAGATTCATTATTTTTTGGCTTGAGAATATGATGGAATAAAGCAAAATGGCTCACTAAACTGTCTGCACTTCTTTGTTATGAAGCAGCAGTCAGTCCATGCAATTTTGGACGCGATTTTCACTATGGGTCATCCGAAAACAGTCTCTTTGTGCTTTAGTACAGGGGTAAGACTGCGTACATCCGACCCCCCTTACCCCACCGTAGGTGGGAGCCTTTGCGGCACTGGGGTAAATGAAAATGATGAAAATGATGACTACTTCATAACTGAACCTTAATTTCTGATGGTTTGATTATTGATTTCAGATAACAATGAAGGTGTGACTACTGTAATGGATGATCCAAACCTGGGAGATCAGGCAGCTGCTTTTAGTGCTGAGGCCTCCAATTCTTTTCTTTTTGATGGCGGACAACTCAGTTTTGAAGGTTCACCAGTGTCCATTCCTCCTGATCAGATAAGAATGATCCAAAACATTAACATATTAGTCTCTGAGGTTCTTTCCCATCATTTCTGTTTTGTTATATTCTTTCTCTTTATTTAATTAAGTGTGGTTTTCTGCGTTCCTACTCTTTTAAGTTCACCACTTGCTACTAATAGATGGTCTAAAGAGTGTGCATGTCAATTTTGTCAATTTTGTCAATTTTTCGTCATCCTGTCTTTACAGTTGGCATTGGAGAAAGTAGAGTTGATGAAAGCCTTTTCTGCCGAATCATCTGAATGCTCTAAACTTAAGGTAATCCTAAACCATTATGTCTTGTAGTTATTTTGTAGCTTAATTCTCAGCATAATCTTGTCGGTTTTTTTATGTATTATTTTTTCCGGTTGAAGGAGATAAACAAGGAGCTAACAAGAAAACTTGAAGCTCAAACACAAAGATTGGAGCTCTTGACTGCTCAGAGCATGGCACCTGATAATGTTCCTTTAAGACAGCCGGATAGGCCTTTCCATGAGAATCCTACGACCTATGCAGATGAGGGTGATGAGGTAACATAGACATAATTGGCTTTTAATATTTTATCAACCTTCACCAGTGTACAAGGCATTTCCATCTTCATTATTACCTTAATCACAATTAATTGGGGTCAAGTGGCATGGATTTAGAGCCTTTTTGGCAAGGCCTAAAATGGTTGAAGTGAGTGAACATGCTTAAATGCTCTGCTGAAATTGTGGCTAGATTGGTTGAATTATAAATTAATTTTAATTAAATTAAAGAATTCATTTTTCAAAATGAAGAATGGAATTCATTTTTCATCAAGGGCTACTTTTCCACTGCAATCAGTGAAGTTTGATGAAAATCTTGCTGACACTCCATGCTAAAAGCACAATGCCAAAGTTTTATGTCAGATGCCCTCCGTGCGGCAACCTTCTGTAGAAGGAATTTTGAGATAAAATCACAAAACCATCGTCATCTTGTAACACCAATGCTTCTTACTCGGTTGGTGTGCTACTAGACTGTCAATTTGATTTGTAAAATCCTCTTTAATCAGGTGGTTGAAAGAGTATTAGGGTGGATCATGAAGCTATTTCCGGGAGGGCCATCTAGGCGAAGAACCAGCAAGCTTCTTTAGTAGTTGCCATTAAAGACAGACTCCTCCCTAATATATATCTCATCCTTGTAATTTTTGCCAGGCAAAAGTTTGTAATTTTGCGGCGACACATACAGACCATTCTTTTTTTCCCTATAAGAAATTCTTTCAGAAGATTACACATTGGAAGATGGGAGTGGCAATAAAGGTCTCACCTCAGGTGTGCATTTTTTCATGTGGAACTACGAAGTCATGGGAATGTGAGATATGGGTCGAATCAAAAGAGCCAGCCTGAGAGTGAATGCAGATCATTATGTGTTAAAATGTACTATAGACAACAATATACTTCATGAATCTCAAGTGAAAGAAAATCCATTTATCTTATCATTTGCAGGAGTAATGCGTCTTTGTTCTGCCAAATACGTGTATGCTTATAGAGCATTGCATAGCATAGAAAATGAAAGTACACAGATGCGCGTGGCATTTTAGGAATTGTATAAAGCAATAAATGATTTTATTCCATTTGTTCCTTATATATTCAAGTTAACCGAAGTCCAACAGTGCAGAAAAAGAAAAAGATTATGGTTTTAATTTCTACCCAAAATTGAAGTGCGGAACTGCGGACAACACCTCAAAATACACGAATTACTTTCTCTGAGTAAATTTCATTCTATTCTGGTATGTGCCTATATGGGGGTAATTATGTCCGTTGGCATTCTGACAACATAACCTTTATATTTTGACATTGTAATCTACTACTCCGTACCACACAACATCACTTCGTGAGGATGAAATTGAAAAAGTGATCACATATTCACATGTGATATATTTCCTCTTATTTGTCTGGCATAAATTGATAACAATATAATTTCATTGCTTTCTCAAGAGTCTGACTAATATTAATTCTAAAAATTATCTAATCAACATAATCTCATATTCTCATGGACCTGGTCCTGGGATTGGACTAGAACCGCCCGGTTTTGAACCGGGTTCGGGACCAGAAAATAAGGTTCCGGTTCAAGACTAGAATCAGACCGGTGGGAAAGAGGTTCTAGTCCCGGGTCTCAGTTTTTTTGAGACTAGAACCGGTTCTAATTATTCATTTTTTTTTGCTATTTAATCATTGAGAAACATTTGATGAGAGTTGAGGCCTCGAGGGTCCATTTAAAAGATTAAAAGAGGTGTAAATGCCTAGATGGGGGTGTTGAGGATTTAAAAGTATTGAAAAATTAAAAAATTCGGGACTGGTTGGGGACCGGAACGGGTCGGGAACCGGAAATAGAGTTCCTGAACTATTTAGGCCAGCTAGTTCGGGAATAGACCATCCGGATCGGGACCAGCTCCATGCTACTCCCTCCGTCCCTGAATGTTCTTCCGATTGCGATTACGAAGGTTGACCGACGATAAAGTTAAATGATCCCTGTGAAAACTCGGATTATTTTTAGTAAATAAAATTTACATATTCAGAAACTACATTAAACCCGCTACAAAGCCTACACAAAAAAAATCAATTTTCATAAAGTTTTGATACAAAAAGTAAGAGTTTAAGAGTGATTTAAGTTGACTCTTGAAAAGCGAAATGGAAGTAAATTTAGGGACAGAGGGAGTATTATGTATTTATGTCTAGTGAGCTCTACGTATTTATAATCTAGCAAAGCTTGTGAGTTGCGAGAGACATCTGTAAGGAACATATGCATGACTTGTTAGAATGTTTTCTCTTGAATTGTTTTCAATCTCAGACAATAGTAGATCAGACCAGACTTGAACAGAACAGACCAGACTTAAACAGACTATGTCAGGCCAAACCAGGCTTGAATAGTTATAATGTACACAAAGAACAGACATTCAGACTAGACCAACAAATTTCAACCCAAAAGAAAACATTCTTACTTGTTTAGGTCAGAAGTTCAAAATGACACTACGTATCATGTTTTGAAATGCCTTTTATTACAAGTGATACTTTAAATTCAAGAGTAATAATGCTCACTTGATTTCTAAATGACTTTTTGGACAAAAGCTAGTAAATATATGTCTCATTACCACTTTTGGTTCCTAGTTTAACATTTTCATAAAACATGTATGCTAATAACCCAAACCAAGTTTTACCGTGTAATTGACAGGGAGTTTTGTGGTAAGAATGGTATTAATCGTGTAATAGACTAATAGTTCTTTCATAAAGTTTAATAAAACAATACCATCGTATTTGTCTATCGAGTTAGGTAAAAGTGTGTACACACTTGCCACATTTCACAATCCACAAAAATTCTACAAAAAACAAAAACAAAGATAAAATTCATAAATAATACGGAGTATAACCATCATGGTTTTATTTAAAAAAATACCCCATACGACTTATTTACTCATATTGTGGAAAATTTTAATCAACTTATTATTTTAATAGCATTAAATAAGTCATGTTTGGACAATAAAACATATTTAATCATATTTTTGAACTTTGTGTATGTCTTAATCCTATTGAGCAATTATATACAAACATTTGTATGTGGTGAAATTGCTACAAACTTGCAAATAATTCAATGTTATAAATATTAAATTATTAATTGTTCCTGCAAGAATTTATATGTTTTTGAAATATATATTCTTCATATATAAAAACAAATGTTTTATTAGGAAGGTTGGTGTGGCTCACCGGGTGTCCACGCACCGCTAAGTATCTTCTTAGTGAGAGGTATTGATTCTCACCTAAGGTAGATGTGAGATGTCTTCCTTTAGGGAGGGTGAACATCAATTCTCACCCACTTCTCTCCTTGGTGTCATGTGGCATCACATATCATTTTTTAAACAGTGATAACTTTTTGTTTATGATCCAATTTTTTAAAAAACTATATCAATTTCAATATTTTTTATGATCTTGCCAACGAGTATATAAAAAATGAAAAAAAATTAAATTAAAAGTGAAAAAATTAAAACAATTGGCAAATAATAAAAAATTGACTTGTCACATGCCAGACAACTAGGGATGAGATGAACATCACCCTTACTCAATGATTGAGGAGGGAGATGATAGTAATGGTCCTACTAATGGACATACCCGTTCACTTGTCTAGATACTAGAGTTTAGTTGATATGAGAGCATGAGTCCTGACTCCCGATACTTGATTATAAAAAACAAAAGTTATGCTATTCGTACTCACCCCTATACTCACCTTTATATTCACCAAGGCTTTTTTGAATTCCATTCATAGGTAATATATGTCTTATTTTGTCTATACAAATTAAAACAAAATAAGACATATTTTGTCTGTAAACGAGATTCACGCACACAAACAAAAACTTTCACCTTACATGATGGGTATAAATGTTAGACTAATTGGAGTGGTGAGGTATTAGGAGTCCAAAATGTTAAAGATGATATTTTTGGACTCCTAATTTCATGGATAAAGAGGGTAGTTAATCGTGGGAATTCATCAATCAGTTAACTGTGATGATGGTGTCATTGAATCCGGTGTGAACAAAACAGGAAATGATGAGAACATCCTTGATCCTACACTTAGAAATGAGCTACTACACCTGCAACTATACTGTCCGGTAATGATACTCTCTCTAAGGACAGTCAAACTCTTACCCTTTCTATTTCAGGTACGTCTTTCAGATCATCCCCCAGCTGAAGAGGAACTCCATGACGGATTTATAGAAGTAAAAGGACGCAAAAGCAGAAACACAAACTTTAACAAAACATCGAATGAAGTTAGAGAAGATGAACAACAATACTACCAAGTGGGGTACACTTCACACCCCATGATCACCAGAAGCGGATCCAAAAACCCCCAAGACGAGACATGCTTCTTTCTCTACCCGATTGACGCGAGGTTTGACTCCCGCATAAACTAGCAGCCGCTCTAAAGCGCTTCAAACAGTCTCATCCGGAAGAAACAATCTATTAGCCCTACCTTCAGAAGGAAATTAAGTTCCACAACATATACAATAGATCAATCTCTGCAACAGTTGGAATTCCTTAAAAAAAATTCAACTCTATCTAGCTTGTTCTTTCAAATATCATCTCATGTACTCTTAAATCCATTTTAATAAATTTGGGAGGTGTTCCTCGGCACCCCCCACCTAGTGTGGTTCCACCCGGGATTAAAAAGAAAAAGAAAAAAAGAGGGTAGTTAAAATGGGTAAAGGGATGAAGAGGTTAAATTTGGAAGATGTATTGACAGTAAAAAAGGGAAAATAAAATAAGAAAGGGAGTGATACGGAGGTCTGCTGTGTGCATAGGGAAAAGGCAGGGAAAAATGGAAAAGGGATGACATAATTTGTTTAAACATTAAATCATAATTTTTTAAACACTTATAACTCTTTTATTTTTTATCCAAAATTTTCTAAATGATATTTCACATGACACCAATATATAATATATAAAAATGAAAAAAACTGAAGTTTTAATTGTTAGAGGTTTTTTTTAGTTCAAAATAACAAGAAACACAAATTTTTAATTCATGGATTATCCACAAATAACTTAATATTACATAATCAAACTTACTTGAACTGAGTTCATTTTTTGTTAACTGAAAAATGTTAAACAAAATTAATGAAAATTATTATTTTTACATCGAAATGTATTTTTTTAATTTCGTGATTATTCAGGGGAAAATTAAAAGGAAAACATTACTTACAATAAATTAATTAATCTCTTACTAAATTGATATGTAAAAAAAATATGCAGAATATATTTTATTGACTGTGCTAAAGTGCAAGCAAATAGGAATCAAAACACTATTTTAATATGAATTAAATCCATTTTTGACGTTTTGGATTTCACACCACCCCAAACTCCAAATGGTCTTGCAACTTACAAGACAACCTTCAAATATCATTTTCTCTATCATTAATGTGGCTTAAAACTATTCCAGAAGACCATGGTTGTTCTCAGTGTAGTAAAGTTCTCTCCTTTGCCTTTCACCTTCCCTGCTGTCTTTGCTTCTTCTAAAGGTCCATTTCCCTAATACATGCTTCATATTCATTCATACATGTCGTCAATCACACTTCCTTAAAAACACAGTATCGTTTTCCTGTGAACTGACCGTAAACAGAAGCTAATTCCTCCAAGACAAAGGCACTGAAGCTTAGAGACGACTGGAGGGAGAAATCCAGACCCATCCCTCCTGGTGGAACCTACCCTGCTAAGGACCATTGCAGGTTCATCCTTTCCTATTATTGAAATTGTCTTTTTTTTTCAATTTTGTAAGTTTCAGTTTGTTCTAGATTTTCATTATTGGATGACTTTTTCCCTCCCATTGGTACAACTTTACGCTGGATTGGCAGCAAATGCGGGTTATGTGATACTTACTACATAGCTCATGTAAAAAATGCATGTGCTTTCTTGGGGAATGGCATGTCCAGAATTGAAGTGAGTTTCTTTTTTCTTTTTTTGGTTATGGATGCTTCATACTAAGGAATCTGTGTACACATAACCGTTCAGATTTTTAGCTTATTAGTATCAAGTTCCTCAAAGCTAGACGGCTAGATGCTAGAAACCCATTTTCTCTCTATTACAAATGACCTAGCTGTGTACATATACTCATCAGCAGAAATTCAGTTTCA